GCGCGGCCCCGCGGCTCCGGGGCTGCATCCGGGTCGCGCGTTATTGTCAGGAGGGGCAGTTGGAGCTAGGGATTTAAAGGCTGGTAATATTACCGGTAAGATTCGGTAAAATACCCGTAAGTTACGGTAACTTACCAAGCCACAAAACGCTGGTAATTTTCGGTAAGATTCGCAAAACCCCTTCTAATAGAAAAGAGGATCAGCCAAGCGCGAGCCACATATTTTTCGGTCATTCCCGGCAAAATATTCGTCATTTTTCTGGTTTTAATGCCCAAAACAACTTTTTTTTTTTTGCACTGAGGCGGTTAATTGAGCACTGTAAAGTGTAAATGCTCGGGTCAGATATCTTGCTCATATAAGCGTGAGATCAGTGCCACAAAAACTACCGCTCTCCTGTCCTCAGAACGAGATTATTTTTCCCACTCTGTTTAAGTCATAATTTAAAATCCTCCCTTGAAAAGAGTGAGTAGGTCTCCTCACTAAAAAGGGGGGTGGGGTTAAAGGGTTAAATGGTTCTTGACTTGACAATCAGATTAAAAACCACCCTTCTATTTTCACCATGTAATCAAAATTTGACCCAGTCTGTTTTTACATATGGGTTATAAGTCCAAATCTGGAGTTTTCGTCAGATTGGGTCCAGACATGTCAAAGGCACACCAGGGAAGCCCCAAAACTAAGGATAAAATTAAATTACGTGGACGGTCTAAAAAATGTCGGGACCCGCTTGGATGATCTCTATTCACGGATCTTTCACTCAAAGCATTAATTTTCATGACGTTTTCTTTTGTATGTTACACTGTTTCACACTTAATCTACCGAATAGACACGCGTTTACTACGGGTTATTACATGTATTTTAAGTTTTTAACGCATATTACTCCAAAAACGGCAACTTCGGTGAATATTACCAATATAACCTATAAATACGCGTAACTTACGTAACTTACGGTAACTTACCGTACGATTGAAAGAGACCGGTATTTTTAAAACCCTAGTTGGAGCTCGCAAGTCTCTAGTCCCGATCTCGGACGCATTCACCAGTATGCCACTGATTTGGACTCAAAAATGTTGGTGTGACTTCAAGTTTTCGACTGCATCCGAGATCGGAATCGGCAGTTGTTGTTTTTTTTGTTTTTGTTTTTTACAGAAGTCGCGAATAGCTTGCCTGCGGTCGCGCGTGGGACGGTCGCGGTGATTTCTGACGTGATCTCGGCGAGGGGGCAAGGGCGTGGCGTGTGT